CCAGATCGGCAGGAAGGTGTTGTAGCCTTCAAACTCGAGGAGATAGGCTGGGCCTAACCAAATACCCTGGAATTAGAGTAAAAACATAACAGCTTATTCATATCAAAGTCAGCTCATTTATTCCATCCAATACTTTTGCACATCAAAGACAATCTGAACATTTCAACTTAAGACCACAGACAGAAAAACAATACTCAACATCCAGAACACATCAATGCATAAAGTGGTATGAGGTGCATCATTTTCCAACCAGCAGATTTTATAACGATTTTGTAAACACGGTGCATATCTGAGGTTGTATTTAAATGTAACACAAAAAACAGAATTACCTGTCCAGCAAACCAGAGGAGCAGAAGTCCCACTCCCTGGTTTAGTGACAGACTCAGGTGAGGGATGACCACAGGAAGTAAGCATAGGTACCACAGGAAGTACTGTGAAAGAGTAAGAGACTATGTCAACATATTAATACAATTAAGCTCTCAGCTCTTGTGTTGGGCATTCATGCAAAATCTTCCTTCTTCCTCCAACCTGTAACGGAACTTGTACCCATTGTCCCAGGTTCTGCTTTGGTTTCCACTGCACCCTGCCCATTTTGGGGACACGTTCTTGAAGCTACTACTACCACATTCAGAAGGTAGTACTGAATCAAGTTGCAGGAACTTGCAGGAAGGAGGGGGTGGATTCTTGCAGGGCTGTTGCTAGTGATCAGCTGAACATAGGTATCATGACGCCTCAAGTATTAGCATAACAGGCATTGTGTGTGTGTGTGTGTGTGTGTGTGTGAGACCATATGCTTATACTGGCTTAGAGCTAAAAAAAATAAAAAATAAAAAGGGGACTTCAGTGAGTGGACCTTATTGTATACCCTTAATACCCTGTGTGAAGTTACCCATTGCCTCCAAAATAAATGAACTTCCAAAATGGCTGTTCAGAGGAGGGGCATACACAGGGGCAAACAATCCAGGTCAACAGGGCTATAGAGGTCAGTGATGCCTTCATTCGCAGCTAAGTTCAGGAGATACTCGTTCCCGTCAAGGGAGAAGGCCAGAGGTGGACTGAGCGTGACAAAGTTCTGTTGGTCTTCAACAAGGGCTTTAGGGAGTTTGAGGGAGGTGGGCATGGGGCAGACAGGTGACACAGTAAATGCTGATGAGTTTTGTGTTGGCTTTTGATTAAACTCATTTAAAATCAAATCTACAATATAAAGGGTGAAAAGTTAAAGGGTCTGAATGTTTTCTGAAGCCACTGTATAGTGTCTTCTAATAACATGTATCTTTTTTGACAAATCATGCATCCCCTTGCTTTTAAAATCTTATTTCTAACAGGAAATATTTTAAAAGACAGGTAAAAACTAGGATTACTACAGTTGTGTGCCTCCACCAGTCAGTCAAATTCACTGGTATGGGACAGAATTCTGGGGTCACTGACCTTGACCTTTCAGTCCAAGTGGACACTTGTGCCAGATTTGAAGAAATTCACTCAAGGTGTTCCTGACACATCAAATTCACAAGAATTGTACAGACAGATAGGCAGACAACTCAAAAACGTAATGCCTCTGGCCACGGATATCTCTGGCACAGAGACATAACAAGAGAAGGGGAACAATTGGCCTGATCTTCTTTGAGCAAACAAAACTCATCTCTACTTGGATTCAGTTTGTTGATGGTGGTTGGTGTACCTGTGAGGTGCAGACTTTGTTGAAGGAAACAAAGATGGCTGTATGGAGGAAACAGGAAAAAGCCAGGTCAGGGTGAAAGGCCCATGATGCTACCAACAGCAGAATGAGCTGCGGGAGGAATGCTGCCAGGCCCAGCCACTGGCTCCACGCACCGTCTGTTCCAACAGAAGCCAAAAAATATGACCAATCATAAAATGTTGTACCACCTTGATCAACACAGACAAGCAAGGAAAAAACTAATACACATATTTCCAACTTTATATATGATTTAAGAAGCGCTGTTGACTAGAAACAGTGTACCTCTGCAAAGGATATAACTTTATGCTGTATGGTGTCAATGGGAAAACTATAAATGGCTGGAAGGATGAATACCTGCAGTGAGGTAGAGCATATAGAAGTAAGGGGAGAAGTTGTGTCTGATATCCCTTCTGGTCAGATGATACAGGTAGGTTTCATAAAGGAACTGCCAACCATACCTGTCAAGCGGGAGGCAAGTATTTGTATTTGTTCAAGTAAGAAATGATTAGGAGACACTAATATCAGTCAAATCACCATAAACAGTTCAATCAGGCGTTTCAAGCACCCACAGTAGCTCCACATGTTTTAACCATCATAAGACAATGAATGCTTCTCAAAAGTGCAGACTAACAAAGCATCTTTTTGTAGGCAATCGGATTTCACTGTTACCTAAATAACAAGTGCGTCATCTTCAAGGTCAGATTTATGACATCTGTTTATTAGCAATTCATACTAACTGCAAAACTTAACACTTGTCTGCACTGAGTTAACTGTAAATCATAAATAATGGAAACCGGCTGTGTGTTTGTATGTCTCACATATAATAGAAGAGTGCTGTGAGCATGCAGAAGACCCCTCCAGCCACACTTGCAAAGAGGAACAACTCTGTGTTGAGAAAGCTTCCAATAAACCTGATGAACCTCCTCCACTGCCACCTCTCTGTGTTCTCTGCTCTGGTCTCTGGCGTGCGCAGACTCAGGGCAATGGGCAGAGCATATGTAACAGGGTAGATCTTCATATGAACTGACAGACCATAGAGAATAGAGGCCCGCATCAGACACCGGCCTAGAAGAAAAGAGTTAAAAGTAAGGGAAGAAAAACAAACCAGTAATGGCTGTTCTTAGACTTTGGAGACACTTGTATAAAAAAAAGAAAAAAGATGGGCCTTGCATTTTTTGCAAGGAAGAAACATGTTATCTAGTGCAGTAATGTGGCTCAGTGGTGTGTTTTGGTCAACAGCAGAGTTCTACGGAACAGTAAGTAAGCTAGACTAGGATCTGGATTCACAGACGTTATAGTGAGTACACAAAATTCATTGTCAGTTTTAGCCTCTGTATAGGATCTGCAAAAAATAACAAAACAAAACAAACAAAACAAAACCACCAGCCTTATACTAAGACATCGGAAGACTGGAATTAAAAAAAAAACTAAAATCCATAAGAAGTCAAACCATGTACTATGCTTTCTCTTTTCAATTAAAGAACTGGCTCCTTAGTGGTCACATGTGCCTACAGCAATCAAGATGAACGCTTATAGTACAATGTTGATGCTCTTATTGTAGATTACTGTTTGTGTATGAAATTACATTATTTACCTGCACTGAAAGAATGTTTTGTTGTACACCGTTTTATAGAGCACAGTATTATTGTATTGCACTGTATGATACTGTGCTCATGAAGTTAATTGGGGTGATGAAGTTAATTGGGGTGAGAGTAAAGGATGCCAAGGATAGTTAGGTGGAAACGGATGATTCACTGTGGCGCCCCCTAACGGGAACAGCCTAAAGAAGAAGAAGAAAGAAGAAGACACTGTGCTCCTTTGTTGTACTGAGAATGAGAAGAAGATACTGTGCTCCTTTGTTGTACTGAGAATGTTTTACTTTTTGTATGTGCTCACAAACTACAGATGGAAATTAGTCTTTGGCTAAGTCTGACATATTTTTAGTTTTAAATCAGATTAATAAGCATTCCCCCTACTGGTGTCCCACAAGGATCCATCTTAATCAGCCTCTCCAATCAGAGGCTTGAGAATGTATCCATGCCAACCAGATGCCATGGATGACAGGTGAGGTTCACAGACTCTTGAGGGCTCGGGATGCAGCCTTAGGGCCAGTGACACTGTAGGCCTACCAACAGCAAGAGCCAACCTGCACAGGCGACACTGCAGGCCTACCAACAGCAAGAGCCAAC